CCCCAAAACCCCAAAACCCCAAAACCCCTTACACTACTCTCACAATTGAATATTTATTGCAGATATCCATGACTTAAAGTGATACTCCAAAATAAGATGCTGAGTATTATCTATTAAGCGATAAGACCCTTGTTCTGTATGCATACTTTGCTTGCTCTCCACACATCCCTTTGGTTTTCTTGAAGATAAGAGGATTGTCTTTAAATGCTCTAACAAATCGATGGTTTCCTAAAATTTATTTACCGTGAAATACCTCTGTATCCAAGGTTAATCTTCTCAGTGTTCTCTACTTTCGCTGGGGAATACACATTTTGCTTATAGAACAGCAAGGGGTTTATGTCTTGTTGCTTGCTTTTAGAAAAAGCTGACTCTAACTTATGGTTCCTTGACACAAGAACTTCACTAGTCTGGGTGTTTGTTGTGTAGTCCTTATTTCAACAACTTTGCTCTATTGCTATTCTTTGGAAATTTATGGCTCTTTTGAGCAATAATGTTAGTTCTTTTGTACTTCTGGTTACGGTTGATTAGGTAAGAAATATTCTGGTCACTAGACTTATTAAACATATCCTTACTTCACCATTTTGATAAAGTTGTTCATATCCAAAGGGTTTCTATTCTCAGTAAAATTGCTCATCTATCAAGATTAGTTCAGAAGGCTACCAGTCGTTTCATGTTCCTTGAGACTTTGATCTCTGGACTAAGCTCTCGAGGCTCACCTAATTCTATGTCTATCATTTTGTTCTGAGTTCTTCTTTGCAACATTGTAGTATTCAATTTTAAATTCTTCATATTATTTATTTCAGGCTTAAATCATTTCTGAAAGTTACTGATGAATGAAACTTTATTTCAAATTTGTAGGGACTGAAAGATCTTCAGAAGTCGGCCTCTGAGCGTAGGTCATATACATATTCCGCATTATTCGCTTCTTTGGAGTAACCTTGTTTATTGTAGTGTTGAAGAAAGTATTGTTAAAATTCTGTTTTCCCTTGGCTGTCATTGCCATTCTGTTTGAACTTTCTGTTCCAACTATATGTACAATAATTAAAGCAACTATAGTTAACAAATTTGTATTCATTAAACAACCATGACAGAAAGAATTGAATATAATAATGAAATCTTTGCAGAGATATTGTAGAATTATAAATTTTAAAATAGCTGAAAACTATACTAAATTTTTTAGATCTTAATGAGATGAGAAAATTAGGTTAACCAGGAATAAACATGCTCGATAGTTTTGCAAAAGTACTAAATATATTTCTTTAAATCTAAGTCAAACTGATCAAGACTGTATATGTCCGATTAGCTTCATTCTCTGTTCTCACAATATCCTGAAAAATTCAGTTAAGTCGTTAGATATTTTTGAGTGTTTTAAATGCATTATATTTCTTTCAAACTTCATATTCCAGTAAATTGCTTAAAATGTTGGCAACTTATTTAATATAAAACTGCATTTATGATTACTTCAATTATTTCAATCATAAGTTGTCAGAATATTGCATTTCAGTCTTACTCATTGACTCTCTAGGGCTCATTTTTATTTCAAAATCACGACGCTTTTTGACTTGTTTAGAAGCATAACATTTGTTGTCCACAAAATTTAAGCTATATTTGCTATTCTTTTTAGAGTAAAAGGTCGCCTGCTTTAAAAGCCCTTTTTCTGTATACATTTTATTTTCAATAATTAATATATTTTTTGGGGTTTTGGGGTTTTGGGGTTTTGGGG